CATCCCAAGCCAGAGATGCTTGGCAAGTAGGAAAGCGCTATGGCGACTAAGGATGCAGATAGGGTCCAGAAAAGAATCTGGGGAGAGTAATAAATTGAGATTTCGGCCATGATTACTAGCACGCAAGTGCTTAGGCGTATATTATTATGAGATAGGAAGATGGACGAGAGATGAGCTGTCAACTCCGTTAAGGGGGGTTGTTTCCTATGTATAGACTTCCTCCTCTCAGTACCGTCGGGATTGGGCCGATATACTCCTCAACTGGCCCTATCATCTATGTAATCCCCTCCCACCATCTTCCGTTGCTAATCACGATCATGAAAACACAAAGATAGGACAGTAACACCCAACGCGGTTGGAATATCGATCACATGACCGGGTCTAAGCTATTTTGGACCTTCAATGGTCTTTGACCTGCCGGCGGAGACTTCCCGAGATACGCTCACGTGATCGGCATTGAGGAACTCTACCTACCCTTCTTGCAGCCCATGCTATCATCTGGTGTATGGCTGCCTTACAACATGATGAAACCGGAACACACTAGTCTCGTCCTGATCGGGTAACATACCCTCAGTTTCAGGCAGGTGGGACTGCGTGGTGCGTTGTTTGACTCTTAGGTTCTATGATAATATATCAAGTTCTCCTGGTTACTAAGTATAGAGCCCGGGCATAGTGAGAGGACATGAAAAGACATGGTTACCTGGGAGCTTCAGTACCCCTCAATGGATAGCCTTGCTAATAATGGTATACAAGACCTCGTCCTTGTTCTATGAAAGGCGGTGACAGAAAAGAGTAATTCGGACAAACGATTCAGTAGGTAATTTACATTCCCTCGATTTGATTACACGACTCGTTCCGAAAACGCCCCTCTCACTGTGGACGAAGTACAAGACATAACATCGGGGATCGTCGTTAACTAGCAATTTTCTTATCACTTTACCACCCTAGCTTGCCTGGTGCTGCTCCGTCACGACAATGTACAACAAAGAACATTCTGAATATGGACTGGTCTAACCGACGGTGTTCCGTACCCTTACCGCAACAAGGAGTGCCCAAAACGTGCATTAGGTATCGTATCAGAGTAGAAGGACGTTTTGGTTTGCTCCGAGCATGATTATTGGAGTATCTCCATTGGGTTACGTCGTCCTCGACCGAACTGCGGGGACGAATAGAATAGCATCGATTTAATTACCGTAGCCGGTATCCGCCATCGCATACTATGTTATTTGTCATGTGTTAATTCGCGGACCAGATTCTTAGAGGTTTCTAATTACCATTATTCTTGGGCGTCTGTCATACGGCAAGGACTGCCAAGACCCGTCAAGACCTGTCAAGCCATATGTCTCAGCCTCGACCCGGCTATTGGTCGGCGACTATCGCAGCCTCTGCAATGAAGCCTAGAATCGGAACCCGGCAGAAGAGGGGTAATGGAAATTGTGGCCAAGGACATGTGTATAAATAGAGGGCAAGAAGCGAGGTTACATTAGGAGAAGAAAAAGGAAACATAGACTCCTTGAGATCCAAAGAGAATTATTAGTTGAATAAGAACCCTTGTTCCAAGCCCTTGAGATCAAGCCCTTGTCACAATCTCAATGCTGTAGCCGGTGACTTGCCACTACCGACGTAAGATTGTTAGTAGTGTTATCTTCATATCTGTTAACATGGATTGAAGAGCGCCGGAAATTCTGCAATGCGCGCTTATGGAAGCTATTCGTAGTCTCTTGAGTTTGTAAATATTAATATTGGCAATTTAAACCAACCCTAGTTGAAAGGCTAATTCACCACATCTGGAAGCATGGGGAATATCACCGAACAAGTTCCAAACCCGGGCAGTAAGCGCCCTCTACTTACCCACACCGCCAATGCAGCCCAGCCAACGTCAACACATATTTGGTCTGAGAATGTATAGTGCGTTGTACATGTGCTTCTCGCCGTTTTTGAAGGACTACCCGTAGACGTGACACAAACCTCCCTGGTCCGTCGGCAACGGTATCGTAGTCCGAGGCGGGAACATACATCAAAGTTTGTAGCGCGATCCTTTTTACAGGGCCAGGTGTTTTGGACTGCGGTCTAGATATGTGTCGAGAGTAAAGTCTGATGGTCATGTGTCACGATGTTTCTGCCCAACGCGGTACACGTGGTAGCGCCGCCGGGGTTTCTGCGGTCTAGGCCGTGCCCATATTGAGACACTCGGACCTAACCCCCATCCGTGGGCGGTGTGACATGCCACTAAATTATTCTAGGGTTTCGCTCTTGGCCGGATAAAATATTGGCTTTCCGCAGTTGATAATTGGTACAAATACTAACCCTTTCAAGTCGTCAGACTAGTAGCTCAAAATTCACATCAAGGCTACTTGACAGGCATTAGTTCCGGGGCTGGTATTGAGGCAGTGCAGGTGGCTTAACTCTATTTGGACTGAGGATGCGACGCAATTCTGTTGACTTATATATAGTCCTGTATGTATACCTGGCTATTTATCCTTGTTTTCACGCACACAATAGCTCAGCCAGACCAGCCGGTTTCTATAGACAACTTTAAATTTTGAACTCGAGAGTTGACATGGATTGGAAACAAGGAGTGATTTTCCCTGGTTGGAATAATCAGGATCACTATGGACTGTTTAGTTATAGTTTGACCTCCAGGGTGTGGACAAGGTATAAGTTAGCAAGAACTAGCTGTATTTACCGAGTTGGTTTGATATAACCATTCCTTTTTACATGGCTATACGGACAGGGGTCCTTTGGCTTTGGGAGGTTTAAGACTGACTGAATTGACCCGTCTATTGAGTATTATACTACTATTACACAGGCTTTATCGCTCGGAAGGGCCTCGCACTTGCTCACAGTTAAGATATCACAAGGGCCTTTCGGCGTGAATGGCTCAGATTGTATAAAGACTTCAACGTATATTGCGACTCAGTTTGTTCTAATTTATAGCTTTGAACTTCTTACTGGATCTATTAGATCCTTCATCTCTGACCTGGGCCAGTCTGGGAAAAGAGCTGGATCCGGACGTTCCCTATCCCAAGCCCATTTCTCCGTCAATTGAGGGGATAGTTGACCCTCTATCATCTGAATAACATACTTTCCGATTACAGGGAAGAACTTATAACCGTGGAATGAACCACCGGTCGCAAGATATAGGCCTTTTGCAGCCGAATGTGGTGAGATGAGGAAGTCAGAACTGGTGGTGAAGGCGTCCCTATCCAACTATTAGTCAACTTTTTCATTTTCGTAGACTTGCAGGACGTACCAGCAAATGCGGTGTTTCTGCAGCTCCCAATGCGCAGTCTTCTCGCCGTAGAAAACTCTGTTTGCGTGCTTGATGTCCTCTTTAAGCCTTCTAGAAACCTCCCACTGCGCGTAATCTGGCTTTGGAGGCGGTGATGAGACATAGTGGCCAGGCAACACTTCTCTGGTGTTCTTGAATATTGTCTGCCCCCACCATTTCATTTCACGGTCTCCTGGAGTTGGTGGAAGAGAGCCGATGAAGGGGCCTGTTCGCATGATTAGATTCCCGTGCAAGGCAAAGCATCCGGGAGAGTACCCTTACCTTGATCGGGCCGATACCCTTGAAAAGCCACAGGCATGGAACCGTATTTTGCGTGTGACTCGTCATCTAATTTAGCCATTCCCGTCGTGATGCCACCTGCGACAAGCCTAAATCCAGCTGCGATATTGGGTCGGCCGCTATTCACAGCACTGAATTCGAGAAGTGTTGGCGTGTACGCCCCAGCGCATACGATAGTATGTGTTGCTTTCAACACTTTGCCCTTTGTTGTTTTAATACCAGAACACTGGCCATCCTTACCCAATAACAATGTTGCTACTTCGGCTACTTCGTACTTGACGCCTAAGTCCAAGGCTTTGCGAGTAACTGCGCGTAGAGAGTCTCCGGCGGCACCCCATCCGCCGGTCGGGTTGATAAGCACCTCCTTGACGTCGGTATAGTCGGCATCCGCGAACAGGCCGCCGTACAGTTTGCGCGCTTCCTCAATCGACACAGCTTTGATATCGGCCTTTCGTCCCAGACGTTTGTAGTTTTCGATGACGCCCCGCGCGTAATCGTCGCGACACGTCCATATGAGACCCGTCTCATGGAAAAATGGTTGCCACAAGGGATCGGATTTGAAAACGTCCTGCGCCTCGAGCGCAAGCTCACAGTAGACAATGTCATCATAGTCTGCCCGCACCACCTTGTTCCAGTCCCACGATGCAGCTACACGGGTGTCGGCATCGTAGGCATCCCGATCAACCAGGGTCACCGATGCGTTGGGATATTTCTGGATCAGGTGGTACGCCGTAGATACGCCAAACACGCCTGCTCCGACGATGATATAAGACTCCTTGCGAGCTGACATGTTGAATATGGAAATGACGAGCAAGTAACCTGGACACCACTCTTGCCTCCCGCCTATCACAGACAATCACATGCTGGAGGTTTATATCTCCCTACTGGGCGGTTCTCTGTGGTCTATCTGATCCTTGGCTCTTGTAACAGGGCCGGTATCGCCCTAACGAGACCCAGTACTTACCCAGGTAGTCTAGGTTGTGCAGTCGGCACGGCTCTCTTCTCCGCATGACCGCCCACGTGATCCGCGCCCTTTGGATGGGTTTACTTTATCTCTCGTTGAGATAGGTGCCGATATGTTGTTTTGACGTGCCACTTAACGCTGTTGTTTGTGGTCTCCGCATTTTGACCATTCCAGAACGCAGAACCAGCGATTTTGTTGGTGACTTGGCGACCGGGGCTGTATTGGAATCCCACTGGATTGGCGCCCGGAGTAAACCGCAGGCACCTGGAAATTGGTTATCTATTTCCTAACTAGTAGTAGGCCGCCAAAAGAGGCAGATAAGCTCTCCGCACGGTTATTTGGAGACACTTAATCACGTATGGATAATCTCGTCGTATCAAATTCTTTGTAACTCGCAAAGCCCACAAGGATTGGCTTGCATTCTTGAGGTATAGGACGCGATTTTCCTCGGACCACACAGCAATTGCCCCTATGGCGTAGTGGTAGCGCGTGTCACTTGTATAAACTTACAAAGAGATGACAAGGTCTCTCGTTCGATCCGGGATGGGGGCAATTTAACTTTTATCCTTTATGTTTATTTCTTTAAAATTTTTAGCTTCTTACTAAAAGCCGTTAAAAATATAGGTTGTTAGATCATATTAACGGATTACTGAAGTTATAAACACCTGTTTATCGGCGGTGTATGCTTTAAAGTTACTAAACACGCGCGCTAGTATTTTATACGTACTAAAAGCTGATCGACATTGATAGACTAACAGAGAAGGAAGTTTTGGGCTGTAGACCATATCTATTTTATGAAATTCGGATTGGCATCATAGAAAATAGGTGTTAAACCGCTAAACAATAATTAACGTCGACTTAGCTATAGCTAAATCGCCACTATTAGTAGCCAGTGTCGATACCTTCCCTAGAACAAAAAAACATATGTGTATGGAGCGAAGAATTAGCTTACGAAGGAGGTTGAACCCTTCGCGCGACAACAATAGTCCAGTCTATACATGCCCACATACTTGACCCCTGCCCCCCACCCCAAACGAGATCCTAACAGCTGGCCCAGTTAGTCTGTATACTTATATCTGTCCCATGACCGCATTGTTCTATTAACTCTAATATTTAGTTCAACCCATAGTATTGTAGTAGTTGGCGCACAAAGCAATCACAATGCTGGTGTTGAGCGAAATTATTTGTGGGTAGTATGAATAAATAATGGCTTTGTTAGTATTTCAACACTTCTTGCGAGGACGTTTCAGATCCGCAGGTTCGAGGAGTCACATATGGGAGGGCTATTAGGAGTTAGCTCTAGCTAAGCAAAAGTTCTGGATCATATATATTTACTCCCTGGGGTTAAGAACGGTGCAACTTCATTGTTAGACGTCAAGAAGAGTTTTATTGGTCTTAGTATATTTGCAAACCTGCTGCTGGCTAATAATCTAAGATGAAGAGCCTTTGTACTAACCTGCAATCTTTAAGTTGAAGGGTATGTTAAGGAAAACCGAAGTACATATTATGTTAACGAGGGCGGGCCTTAACATTGGTATCTGCCCACCGAGTGTTGGGGGGATATCAAGGTACCAACAACCCATTGTTACCCGGGCGAATAGCTCGAAAGTCGTGACCACAAACCAAAACACCTTGTTTTATTAAATGTGATTCACCTTCTGCAAAAATCTTGAGTACATCTTGTACCTTTCTATGGAAACCTTCAATGCCTTTTGCGTTTTATATTTATACTCACTGGAGTCAACTACTTCACCTCAATTCACACCCATGGGATGCTCTGCACCAAAGGAATTCAACTGCTAATTCCAACCCCAGAAAAAACACACGACTTCCTTTCAAAGAAAACCATCTAGTTTTCTAAGGCAACGATCAAGAATCTCGAGTCTAGTACTAGCTAGAAGCAACGCGTCGAAGCCTGTCAAGAACGCTTATCCCAATCCCCCCAACCCTTGAATCAGGAGGAAGCCGCTCACTATGGCCACCGTCACCCCGAGCGAGGCTATCGCTTATGGCATTGAACCGGATATCTGTGAGTAATTCTTAAAACCCCATTCTAGGATTTGGAGAGACAGGCGCACACTATATCACGTCCGAACAGCCTTCGAAATATTTGTAAGCACAAGCAATATCACTATTACTAATTTCTCAAATTACAGTGGGTTCGGCGCAAGAAATCGTGACCGAATTCCGCAAGGAAATCTTTGATCTGAGCGAGCTCGGGCACCACGACAAGGCTCTTGACGAGGCGCTTAAGTATGCTTGCACCTGGGGTTTCGTTACCGGCTACAAGATCGTCTTCGACGCTCGCATTGGGGTTCTGCCTAATGGCGAAGACCCGCATCTCGCGATCTTTCTCTCGTTCATGGTCGCCAACACCGACGATACGTCCCAACCTGAAGGAGGTCATAGCTCGGCAGGAAGCGTAAAATCCGTAGGGAACGATGCTGGACAAGTTCGGGCACCGGTTGCAGAGACCCTGCAGCACGGCCAGCGGAAGGAAGATAAAGGGATGTCGTACGCCACAAAGCGCTGGGTGGCACAACATATTCTCTACCTGATGCTGCGATGCTACGGAAGTATCACATTCCCAAAGAGCGTCTGGTTTGTGGAAGACTGGGTCGGCAGTAGCCCTCCTTGCCTACTACTGCCGTATGCACTGACGGTCGCTGATCGATTCGGGAGAGCAGAGAAAATACGAGAGCGTATCATCGAGCAGATCAGCATTTCCACTGCCCCCGCCAATCCAACCCACGAGGATGAGCATTAGGTGATGAGCACGTACTTGGAGGATCCGGAAATGACGGAAGAACATGGGGATTAAGAGAATGAGATGAGGCCTGAGAAACTGGATGAAAGCATACACCAAGTTTTCCGAGTAACTGGACAGTCGAGGTTGGAAGTTACGGTACTAGGATGCCCATATTGGACAAGGCGTTTGCATACCGCATTGAGATAGATTCTCCTTTGCCCTTCTAGCTTATATATATAAGCTGCTGGCCGAATCGATTCTTCAATTTAGCTTGAATGCGATTGCCGTGTCGGTGCTCGGTTGAATTGAAAGAACGAGCTCAGAGGGGGTAGTAAGATCAGCACCGTATCAATGATATGTCGCATGTTTCGGTAGAGAGGCATCGGCAGCCTATCCCGTTCTATTGCTTATCTGTGAGCCCGCCTACACAAACCGCAGGAAGTAATATGTGTAAGATTTTGGAAGACTTAAGAGTCGATGTGACGCTCTATGTTTCCTTCGCCCGTTATCTGTCTAACCGTCAGAGGGTAAGTGGCGTAGCTTGTATGTAACACAGAGCTCTTCGCAAACTGAAAATTGAGTTATATATTAGACTTTAAGGCAATTAATACTGTTTTATTGGTGCGGGAATCCTAACCTCGTAAACATTTGTCGAGGAGGGAGGTCGAAGCGGAGGTCACCGTAGCACTTGCCATATTCCCTGCTCATTGCCATGGATCTCCAATAATGATGCTGTGGGAATGTATGATTTGAAACTAAAATGGACTTTTAAGCCTGAATTAATTGATAGTTCAAGCTCTTCGTGACATATACATAGAGCTGTACGTGTTTTGACTCGCTCTGGTTGCGAATGGCGGCTTAGGGACTTAAATTGGCTGGTGCGAAGTTGGGTGTGGTGAAGATTAGGCATTCACATGCCGACTCGGTACAAATAAACGGGAATCGGTAGTTCAGTACCGTTAGATAGACCCAAATACATATTCTGAGACGTACATGATGTCTCTTCATCTCCTAAGGTGTACATTATCCATACCTTATGTGCTGTTTGATATATGTACTTAGAGAGCATTATTGAGTTAGAAGGTGTATGCATATATTCTAAGCTATTTGCTTATCGGGCTTCCCGTGCAGTTATCGCGTATTATTAAATACGGGCATTCCACTAATCAGCGTGCGGTCTATTGAGCGCGTCCCCAGCTACAGACGCGTCGGATACGTAAGAGCCTCAGCTGTAGTAAGTATCGAGGCTCAAACTGGTACAGCAAGACGCGAACAATTACCAAGATATTATCTCTGTTACCAGTAGCTCATAAGATCGGCGGTGCATACCACATACCTATCACGTCCTTCAGGCTCTCGACCACCACAGACTTTGCCAGATGAGCAGTGCGCGTATAATCTGCCCATTAAGGATGCCCCCGACGGTTCTAAGCGCATCGTGAGCTCTTCTAAGGCTTTGTTTCAATGGATACCCTAGACTGGCCAGCTGAGTGGGATCTCCCCTCATTTTTCCATCAATCACAACGCATGCTTTGTAGCCCCTCGGAGTGATGATGGGACGGACCCCACCAACTAGTACCCCTCTGCTACCCCACGGAGAACGACGACACCGGGAAGAATGGGGAATCATAGAGTGGGATGTCGTATTAATTACACGACTGGCGCTGGACGACAGGAGACAAGTTGATGAAGGACCGCGTTCGTTTGCTTCTTCGTCATTCGTCCTTTGCCTTCTCATTTCTCTCTAAGCCAGCAAGCAGTGTCTTCCTGCCATACCTGGTAATTATCCCCTCTTACATAATTTCTCCATTGCCTTTCTCGAATAGACCAAGTCTGAGGTAGACAAACCCCATAATGCCTGAGATAACTATCACTGGCTGGAGGACGAGGGATGTTCGGTTCCCTACGTCTCTCGACAAGACGGGCTCCGATGCTATGAATGCTGCTGGCGATTACTCTTCTGCATATTGCATTCTCGAGACGGATTCAGAGTATGCAGGCCATGGAATGGTATGTTTGCCCAACTGAAGCACGCTTATAAAACTCCGTTAATAACCAAACGTAGACATTTACCATTGGGCGCGGCAACGATATAGTATGCGCAGCCATCAACCACCTCGGAGACAGACTGAAGGGTCGTACCCTCTCCTCTCTGGTAGCGGATTGGGGAAAGACCTGGCGATACCTGGTCAATGACTCGCAACTGCGCTGGATCGGCCCTGAGAAGGGCGTCATTCACTTGGCGCTCGGCGCCGTTGTCAACGCTGTCTGGGATCTGTGGGCCAAGTCCCTTGGGAAGCCCGTCTGGCAAATCGTTTCCGAGATGACGCCCGAGGAGTTCGTGCGGTGCATTGACTTCCGGTACATCACAGATGTCATCACCCCAGAAGAGGCTGTTGCCCTGCTAAAAGAGAGCGAGAAGGGCAAAGCAGAACGCTTTCAAGCGGCCTTGCAGAGCCGGGCCGTGCCCGCGTACACGACGAGCGCTGGCTGGCTTGGCTACGGCGAGGATAAGATGAAGAGCCTACTCAACGAAACCCTGAGTCAAGGATACAAGCACTTCAAATTGAAGGTTGGCGGAAGCATCGAAGAAGACAGGCGACGATTGACCATTGCGCGCGACGTGATTGGCTTCGATCGTGGCAATATCCTAATGGTCGACGCGAACCAGATATGGAGCGTACCCGAAGCTATTGAGTACATGAAGCACCTGGCGGATTTCAAACCCTGGTTCATTGAAGAGCCTACCTCGCCCGACGACATCCTCGGCCATAAGGCCATTCGCGACGCGCTGCGACCCCTC